CTTTGTTTGTCTCAACTCCGGTCTCTATTCCAAGTTCTCTTACAGCGATGCAGTCCTTTGCCACACCACAAGAAAAGACGCTGTGGAGACGCTGCGGTGCCACACAGGAAGAAGCAGTGTGGCGGGGACCCGATAACAAACCCTGCCTGCCCAAACATTTCTTTCCTCACTTTGCAAAATTGACACATGGATTGGACCATGTGTCAAAAGGGGGGATGTTGGATGCCTTAACTCAACACTGGTTCACCAAAGGTTTTTCAGTTCATGCGCAGAAGTTTTGTCAATCGTGTATGGTTTGTGCAACACATAACTCAGGTAAAACCAAAACAATCACACACGCCGCACACCCACCAGATAGACCATTCGAACATTTGATGATGGATTTCATAGAACTTTCGCCAGCAGAAGGGAAGAAGTACTGCTTGGTGATGGTTGACATGTGGTCAAAATGGGTTGAAGCATTCCCAGCAAGACACCAAAGCAGCCAAGTGGTAGCAAAAGCTCTGTTAACAGAAATTATTCCCAGATGGGGAATACCAACTAAACTGAGCAGCGATAATGGCGCACACTTTTTCAATTCTGCAATAACCCAAATCAGTGATTTTCTTGCCATTGACCTCAGACGACATTGTGCATATCACCCTGCCAGTGGAGGTGCGGTCGAACGAGAAAATGGCACTCTGAAATCAAAACTAGCAAAGTGCTGTGAGGAAACAGGGCTGCCATGGACAAAGGCCCTGCCGATTGTTCTAATGCACATAAGAATGAGAAAAAGATCCAGAGTTAACATGAGCCCCTTTGAAATTCTTTTTGGCAGACCTCCATCTCTAGGAGTGGAGCCTGTAACCAGGCTACTCCCCTCCACTGGCCTATGTGACGATGACATGTTACAATACTGCAAAAACTTATCTTCCACTCTCTCTCAAATCTCTCAGCAGGTGAAATCAGCCCTTCCACTACCAGCTTCCACATTACTTCATGACTTCCAGCCTGGCAACTGGGTGGTGATAAAGGACTTCAGAAGGAAGCACTGGCACTCCAAACGTTGGCGAGGTCCATTCCAGGTGCTCCTGACAACACATACTGCTGTGAAGATAGCTGAGAGAGCAACGTGGGTACACGCCAACCACTGCAGGAAGGTCCCTGAACCAACAGAGGAATTCAGCTGTCAACCTGAACGGCGCGAGGACGGTCGGCGTGGAGACGGACAACGCGAGGACGAACGAGCGCACGGAGAGGACGACACGAGGAATAACTCCATAAATTCAACAACCACCAACTAGACGTCAGGATTAACAACACAAACCTTCCCAATAGATTACACCATGCACCACCTGATCCTGATCCTATTATGTTGGATGATGCTGACAGAGGCCTACACCTACAAACCTGCCGAGACCATCACTCTGACAGAAGGACAAAATGCAACCTTCACGTGCTCTGTTTATCCCGAAATTTGGCGATCAGGTCGAATTCAGTCATATTATGCCAAATATGACAAGTACCTATGCAAAGACCCCTGTGGCCCACACGATTGGCACTTGATCGTGGCCGCTACTGATAAAACCTCTGCTCCAAACAGAGATCCCCGCCTCATAATCACAAAAATTCCAAATTCCAACGGAGCCAAGATCACCATCTCTGATGTCAAATCCTCTGATGAACAATGACAATCAAAATCCAGCCCATCTCACATTTCTGATCCCCATCATTACCCCAGCTCAGATTATGACTCTGATGATGACATTTTGTAAATAATGTTAAGAATGTTTTTGCTTTTGTTCTTTTCTTTCTTTTGTTCCTTCCTCTTCTTAACAACTGCCATGATGATAAATTTTAAAATCTGTGTGAATTGATGTGTCGTATAATTAAGTTGTGACTATATACTTTATTTTATTCTTATTCTTTTGTTTTGTTTAGTTTTTTTCCTGCTAGTGATTAATGAATAATCAAAAGGGGGAATTGTAATGGTAGATTCAGTTTCTTTGTTTCAGCCACTGGAGATGCCCAACCTCCCCCTTCCTAACACAAGATGCCAGGTCCTTTTATGTTTTGTAGATTGTGATGTCTGGACTTGGCCTTACACCTGAATGCAAGATCCTGCAGGACACCTCATATGTAAAACACACCAGTAGGGGGTCTGCCCCAATGTCTGCAGTGGGCAGAGGGGTGTGGAAGCACTTCCTGGAGGGCCAGACCCCTACAGCAGACAAAGGTGTGTGAAAGAGGTGGTCCTCAGGTATAAATGTTTAGCTATCCCCATGTTCGGGGTCCTTCTTCATCTTTGACCGCTCGTGTGTTGATTGACCTTTTCTTTGCAAAGAAAATAAACTTGTCGGCCGGCAGAAGTTCTCTATTTCATTCTTCACCAGCAGCAGAGAAATTTCCACAACACCACCATCTTTAGTTTAGCAGGTTAGCATGACAACATTTGCTTAGTGCAGCTGAGGGAAAGACGAGGAAGGTTAATCTTCATGAACATTAAGTGTAGTATATCTAATCCTTTCTTTTCTATTTATCTAGAGAGGCTGAAAATGTATTTCCATATAAAGTACATTTACAGTATTATTACTTACTATTTATTGATCTACTTATTCTTGATGTTTTGATGATTATTCAGGTTATTGCGCCTGATGATATATGTTCTGATTGTATGGGTTTGTTTTTGTTTATTCTTTTGTTTGTTTTGAGTTATTTTACACTTTTGTGAAATACATTTTTAAATAAAAGTTCAGCTGAGGCTGATGGGACTATGGAAAGTTGGAGGATCGCCAAAATTATTACAATTCATTAATTCATTAATTGGTCATGATTTTTAAGATATAAAAATAACTAATACATAATTAATAAGCACATAACTGCCGTTTTAATTAAAACGCATTAGTCAAAAACCTTTGATGCAGTTTTCTCAGTTTCATTGTCAGCGTAGTTACTGCGGTTAGGCTTTGCAGGGCAGTGTAGTCATGGCAACAAAAACACTTAATAAGCGGGAAACTATGAGACTGAACTGAACGGAAATAGTTCATCAGATGAAAAAGAGGCAATGAAAGCAGAAAAGCCACATGTGAGAGTTTCAGCTGCACCTGAAAGCATTAGATTATTTTCTTTATATTGTTGTAATTTGGTTTCACTAACATTGATTATTATTGAAACCTCTGCATGTTGTTATACATTTATATGTGTTAACCAATATTCAATTAAATTTTATTTGCATAGCGCCAAATCATAACAGAAGTTATCTCAGGACACTTTTCAAATAGAGCAGGTCTGGACAGAACCGACGGCGGCAAAGAAAAACTTCCTTTTAAGAGGCTGCAACCTCGGACAGACCCCGACTCTAGGTGGGTGACCCAACAGTACCACCATGAGCAAGACCTTGGCGAAGGGGGCAAGGAAAAACTGCCTGTTAAAAGGCAGAAACCTAGGACAGATCCTTCGGCTCTAGGTGGGTGGTCGTCTGTCTCGACCAGTTTCTCTTTTATTTTAAATGCATTTTTTTTACAAGAGCCATATTTTACAGTATGCCGCTTGGACGGACGAGACTGAAAGTTCCTACAGCAAGCAGTCCTATTAAAGAGAGAGAGAGACAGTGAGCGAGAGAGAGACAGGAAGTTTGTTGGCAGCCGAGACGTTGGCGCCAAAACACAAAATGATCGACCGTCAATTCATGCACAGAAAAAAATGCCCAAAAAGTAGCTGAGACAACATTTACTCAAAGTGTCCATAACAACAACAACATCAATTTCTCTCATTTATACTTTATACGTCTGCTCCACTTTTCAGAGGGAAACACTGAAGAGTAATTTAATCCATTATTTGGTTCTCAATCTCACTTATTACAAAAACATCTGAATCTATTTGAGATTACCCAAAAATTCAGGAAAACCTTCCGGAGGGGCCCGACCCTCAGATTGGGAACCGCTGGTCTTTAAGGTGGAGATTCAAATAAAAAGGCGGCTAAAAAGTGGCGGGTGGAAACCGTCTCTCATTGCCGACACACACACTCACACACAGCTGGAAACAGCTAGCTGTTGTTCTGTTTGCATCGTCGTAGCTGAGGTTGGTTGGGAGTAAGTCTTTGTTTTAGAGGATCCAGTTCCAGCTTTCTCAGCTTTGGGAGAGATCCAGTGAGCTACCAGCTGCCCCTGATGATTGATACTGGACATATCCAATGCGCTGCAATGTGCTCAACTTAACATCGTTCTTGGCCGGTTACATTTTTATGAACTAAAACCTCTAGAAATAAAAGAGATGTTTGTTGTTGTGTTTTGGTTTGTAAGATTTGAATACCAGCCATGTTCTGTTTTTGAACATCAGACAAAGAGAAAAGATAACTTTTTAAGGAAAAAGAAAGTACAAAAATACTCTTTCATGACTAGTTTATTTCAGATAACACGAAGCCATAAGCGCTATGAATAAGTAATGTTAGATCCCGAGTTACCCCTGTATAGGTGGTACTGGACCAGCTCTCTGTTGTAAAGGGTCCGAGCCTCTTGCCTATGAGTATTACCCTATAGGTTAAAAAGAGGACTGTTTAAGCTGGTGGCGAGGAGACACACCTGGCTTCTAACTGCCTTCATCCGAACGCCCATCCTGCTCACTCTAGTGCAGCACCTGACCGAATAGCCCTAGAGCCAAGTACCACACTAGCCACGTTCGTTAACGGCAGCTCTCCTCTTACTGATCTGTGCACTTGGTGGTTGCTAGGATTATTTTAGTGGCTTGGACAGTAAGCCCCAAGGGTCTGTTTAATTTATTTGACTAGAGTAACTTGTTAGAACCTTCAAGATATTAAACACACTACCTAATAATTATTGCCTGTAGAGATATCATAAATCCAATGTCCACTATTTATTCTTTAACTTTAGTTGTTATTTTTTATTGCAAGATTTTAAGAAGGGCTAGCACACAGCTTAATATTGATTCAACATTGATTATTCACATCTACTGATAAAGATTAATTATCTCTGACATTGAAAATAGTTTTTTAAATTTCAAACCCTGATGAGAAGGCTGTAGCTGAAGGGTTAAATGTCCAGTTTGAAGAGAGAGAGGGAAGAGGTGCCCTGGCCAATACAGTCTTTCCATGCCTGCCAGTGCAGTCTCTGATGGCAGGGTGAACTAAAGAGTGATCCTTGGTGATCAATTGGAATCCTAAAGCCGGGTGGAGATGGTTAATCCTCCTCTGCTCGACACTCCCGTCTCAGCTTTAGATTGTTGGACTTCTCTTTCTGCGATGTTAGGCTTGTTCGTTGCTCTGTCTCTTGAGTTGACATTCTAAGTTCAAAGATGAGTTGCTCCGATGTGGTCGATCGATCAGCAAGTCTTGAACCCGAGAGCCGGCCGATGAATAACCCCGATCCTCCTCGTGCAGAACCTTTTATCCCCCTTGTCTCCTAGGGTGTTGTTCGGTTCATACCTAGTACTTCCTCTTTTGCTTCTCACAAGATGTGTCCTGTGTGTGTGCTCATCCTTACATCCTGTGTATGCGGTCCAACTTCCCTTTTCTCTCAGCACCAGGCATGTCCGGTTGCAATATATGCCTTATTACCTAGTGTTACGGCCACCTCCATTATCTGGAGATGTGTATCTATGTTGTGCAGCTGTGTCATGTTAAGCAGGATGTGTGATCCCTTGCCGAGGATTGGCTGGCGCGAGACCTGCCTACTTCCTGGTTCCAGCCGGTGATCTGATTGGTGCGGCGTCTGGCAATCCCTCCAATCATCTACCGCCTTCCTCTATTTAAATAGCTGCCTACCTGATGAAGGGGTAGTTGTGATTTTGCCCTTGATCAACTCGGCTGTGTGTATTGTGCTCTACTGTTGTAAATGTGTTAACTTCTGTAAGAGCCTTAGTTTAAGTATAAGATCCTATTGTCTCCTGTGTTGCCTTAATCTGAACTGTGGTAAGGAAACTGGGCAAGGATCTAGGTGGGGGTAACTGATACACACCGGACACCTGTAGATTTATTTTATGTTGGACACACTAGGTTTTAGAGGGTGCTGCTTACTTTGTATTTTTGATTATTGATGACGGGTCAGAGTTTTGTTTAATTTGATTTTGAAGTAGTCAGTGGCTATCTCTCATTTTGGAGAGACCTCTTTAAGTTATATTTGTTTCTTTGAGTTAAGCAGCATCCAACAGCCCTTTTCCTGTTTTTCTTGTGAACCCTGCAAATAAATGCAATTTTACCAAAAACATTCTGGTTCATGTTGCTTCCCTCTCCCCCACGAGCCGGGTCGTAACACTAGTTACTTAACACTTCAACATGATTTGCTCTCTTGACCTTACTTTCCATAGTTCTATCTTAGGCCTTTAGGCCTTTATTTGATAGAGAGACAGCTGGAGATAGACAGGAAAGGGGGGCAGAGAGAGAGGGGATGACATGCAGCAAAGGGCCGCAGGTTGGTTTCGAACCCGGGCCGGCCTCTCTACCGACTGAGCTAACCGGACGCCCACATTTATACTTATTAATTATTAAATAATCAGTTACAATCATATAATCAGATTTCATTTTTAAAAGCAGATCCGATGAATTCCCTAGGAGGAGTTTGTTCAAATACAACGCGAAAAGTTCACCGAAAGTGAAAATCAAAATCAAAATGGCCGACTTCCTGTGGGGTTTCGGGTATGGGTCCAAGAGGCTGTTTTGTGCGCCCCGGCATGTTACACGTGCCTACCGGGTTTCATACATATCAGTGAAACGTGGCGCTGGGCCTGCTTTTTAAAAATCCTGTAGGGGGCGCTACACACACGACAAATACGATTTTTGGTATGTGAGCTTCAGGCACTACTCTACACGTGTCCTGTGAATTTCATATTCATAACTATTACGGTCTCCGCACAGTGATGTATCCTGCCACCAGAGCGCCACCTAGTGGTGAATTGTTGACACATTTATTAGTGAGCCTCAGGGAGCCATGGGCAAGCATCATACCAAGTTTCATCTTAATCACGTGTCGATGCAGAGATATAAACGTCTTCATTTAAAAGAGCGCAAAAAAAAAAACTTTTGGTATCCAGTTCAATTCGATTCAATTCAATTCAATTTTATTTGTATAGCGTAAATTCATAACAGAAGTTATCTCAGGACACTTTTCAAATAGAGCAGGTCTAGACCGGACTCTTTATAACATTATTTACAGAGACCCAACAGTACCACCATGAGCAAGACCTTGGCGAAGGGGGCAAGGAAAAACTGCCTGTTAAAAGGCAGAAACCTAGGACAGATCCTTCGGCTCTAGGTGGGTGGTCGTCTGTCTCGACCAGTTTCTCTTTTACTTTAAATGTTACAGTGCAGGAGATGCCTTGAAAAGCTTTAAACTTCCAAGACACCACTGTAATGAGACACCTGACTCCATGACAGACAAATGCACTTTAATCATCAACCCATGAAGCCAAATAGCTTGAGGTGAACCAGCAACTATAGCTGCTTAGAACATAAACCCTTAAAAAGTGGAAGAATTAAGGTCCAGGGTTCAAGTACAGTCAAGTCCTTTGGAGTTTGGGGATAATGGATCAAAGCTGAATGTTTACAGAGTGGTGATAAGATGTAGCTGAGACAACATTTACTTAAAGTGTCTATAACATCAATTTCTCTCATTTATACTTTATACGTCTGCTCCACTTTTCAGAGGGAAACACTGAAGAATAATTTAATCCATTATTTGGTTCTCAATCTCACTTACTACAAAAACATCTGAATCTATTTGAGATTACCCAAAAATTCAGGAAAACCAAAAAATAAACTGAATGAAAAAATAAAATCACATCACAACTCTTCAGATTTATCTGGTGACCTTCCGGAGGGGCCCGACCCTCAGATTGGGAACCGCTGGTCTTTAAGGTGGAGATTCAAATAAAAAAGGCAGCTAAAAAGTGGCGGGTGGAAACCGTCTCTCATTGCCGACACACACACTCACACACATCTGGAAACAGCTAGCTGTTGTTCTGTTTGCATCGTCGTAGCTGAGGTTGGTTGGATTTTAATACCAGCCATGTTCTGTTTTTGAACATCAGACAAAGAGAAAAGAAAACTTTTCAAGGACAAAGAAACCACAAAAATACGTATATTGTCTAATGTGTCATGATGAGGTTATCTGCTGGGACATCCGTCTTCTTCTGATGTCCTGTTAAATTTACAAAAAGACACAAAACAGGAAATAACGCCGTTAGTAACGCCGTTATACTTAAACGCCGTTACTCCCAACACTGGTCAGCATACTGGTGGAGTGATCATATTGGGGTCTGAGCCTGCTTATTTTCTGTGACCCTGTTCAGACTTGAGTGGGTATGTGTGATGAAAACTTTGTGTTTTGTCTCATAGTGGCGTTTCACACTGGCACTTTTAATCAGCGCCGCGGTCTCTGAACATGAGACACACTGGTTATGTGCTCCTAGTGGGAAGAATGAATGTGAATGAATCTGTCCATTAAAAGCTTGATTTTCTATCCACTTTTCTCTTCTTAGAGAGCGCCATAAATCTTCTGTTGTCTCGCGCTCACTCATCTCTCCATTTCCTCTCCATGTATCTGTGACTTCTCTTTCTGTCTGTCTCTCCTCTCTCATCGCTCTCATCTCTGTATTCAGTCGCGCTGTTTAAACAGATTTGATTGGCTGAGCGGCATCATGTGGGATGGCTTAACTAGCATGCGATTGGTCTGTGAGCTTCCTGATCTGCTAAACAAATACCGTAAAGACTAAAAAAGCTGTGCTGGTTAAAATAGAAGCTCCCAGTCAAAATTTAGAGTCCTCAATAATTAATTGATTATAGGTCTGGGTCTGCATAGGACGGTGTCTGGGTCCGCATAGGACGGTGTCTGGGTCCAGACTCGCCTGTTAGCGACCTCTGCCCTAGAAAGTTCATGAAGATCTTCCTGGCACTCAGACAAAACCAATGGATCAGGCTAGATTTGCGTTGGCCCCACCCTCTGAGTTTGATGGGTGAGTTTGACAGTTTTAAGTAATTCATGAAGCACTGCAACACAGGACCATGAAATGTAAATGTAAATAGTGAAATAATTATATATGTATTTTACATTAAATGAATCGGTATTTGAATTAATTAATGACACATTTAATATCACATTTATGTATTTAATTCCAATTTTAATTAATTATGACACATTTAAGTAATTATTTAATGGTGTATTTATTTATTTAATTGTTGCACTTTCAGTCCTCCATACCCTTTGGAGCTCATTTGTTGATGTTAGTTCTCCCTCAGCACCACCTCCACAGGGTAGTGGTCACTGATGGCTTTAGTCTGGAAGAAAAGTCATAAATATTTTTTAAAGGACCATGTTGTGAATTTGAAAGTTTTCCAACTGATCTCAGACAGTCTTATATATTCCTCAGTCTTACTTTGGCATCAGACAGACGGTATTCCTTCTGGAAGTTGAAAGCCCGAGCTGAGCGGGGAACCACAGCGTCATACATGTCATCTCCAAACACCACAATCCTGTTGGCAGAGAGACTCGGGATTTAGCCTTTGAACTTCCTCTAGTAATCCCATTCACCTAACAAACACTTATTCTGTATCTCTAGAGGTATATAGCCATGCTGATATGGATCCAGATTTTAAGATAATAAACCAAACTATAGAAACATTGACAAGATAATGGCATATATATCAATTCTTTAAATGTAATGTTACACCACAAAGTAAAATCCTTTCACCTCTATTTGTTTTTAAAAAGTGGAGGCAGAAATTTTAGTAAAAGCAACTGTATTTCCTCAGTCATACTTATATTACCTGTCGTAGGTGTGGTCAGTAGAGTTACTTGTCGTGGTGTCGACATCATCACCTATCAGCCAATGGTAGTCAGGAGAGAAGATGCTGATCCTTTTCTTCTCCTTCTTGGAGAGGTAACGTCCATCGGCATTAAAGTCCCCCAGAATCATAATGTTCTGCAGAACAAAATCAACATAATGTATCAGCATAAACATCATCATCAGTGCATCAAACTAAGAGAGAAGCTGGTGCTCTAGTGTAACATCCAGTGGCAAGTGAATTTCATATATAACCTTTAAAACCAAAATGAACTACCGTCTATTACAGGTAGAATAATGGATACAAAAAGTAAATAAAATACAAAATAAGATCAAAGCGGCACTAATGAGTATTTTTATATTGACATACAATTGCAGTAACAGTAAGCAGATTTGTAGTGAAACATTCCACTCAAACCCATGAAATAATAATAATAATAGGTTATTATTGCTCCCATACTTATATCATTTACTCTGTTCTATTAATTTACAACTCACATCAGACTTCCATTTTTTTCTCGCAACTTCAACCACATCCTCCAGAGCGTCCAGCTCTATTTCTGCATCCTCTGGTTTGGTGTGGACTGGGATCAGAACCAGATCCTTCACAACTGAAAGCACAAACACAACTTAATGTCAGATACAGCTGAATTGGATACACACAGATTTTAATTTCTATACTTGTGAAGACCCCATGCGTATTCGGGCCCGCAAGCATGTAGTGTTGCATAAGAAGTTTTTTGACAAACAGGACATGACCAGATTTGGAACATACATAAACAAGGTCACATGATCCAATTCTCTGTTTGGTCTACATAGACAACATCAGGCCAACTTAGCTGAGTAGTATGAGCTGGAGCTTTGCACTCCCCTGCTTACAGCAGCTTCCCCTGAATTTCTTACATAACGCTTTCCAGATCCCCTTCTCATGGGTGCATCCCAGCTGAACAGGAGACAATGGGTGTGGGCTAGGACAGGGTCTTGCTGAGTGGAGTACCACTGGCTCAGATCTGGAGTTGGCCCCCAGGCGCCACACAGTGTATGCCCACTGCTCCTCCTACTTGGGATGAAGGTCAAATGCAGAGAATACATTTCTCTGAGGTTAAGGATAACTTCACTTAAGCCTCAATCCCCATGGTTTCTGATTTCTTTAGTCTCACAAACAGACAAAGCTCAGCCAAGGAAGGTTCCCAGGTGTTCCTTTATGCCAAATTTTTTAAAATATCAAAAGGCCATTATTTTCCACAGAAATATCCAAAATGTGCATACATTTGGAACATACATAGTGGGCGTGACCTAGAACCAGGTCCAATTCTTTCTAAGATCTCTACAAAAAGGTTTGCTTATTTGGACTTCCAAGTCAGTATTGTGTGCCACCTGACATCAGACCAACATTATCAGGCCGACTTAGTCTGGCACGTCCCAGCCACTCCACTCGTGGTTAGTCTCCCATAGTCTTATTGTCTGCCAATATTCCAGGCCACACCCATTCCCCTACCCATTAAACTCCCAATGGCATTACCACATTACTACAGCCTCTTTTCAGTGGCTTGAACATTACTACAACAGTGCTGACTTGGAAGTCGCTACAATCAAATTTATATCAGCTTTTTCTCCAACATAAAAGTCAGTGGAGAATGCGAACACAATCCCCCACAACCAGAAATTATGCAGTCAAGATTCCCATATTTGGGGAATTTGCAGAGGTCAGCACAGCCGGAATGCAATATTTGAACCTCACCCTGAGTGAACCAGTGTCATGTTTTCACCTTTGCTAGTTTTGTGTTTCTTTGTACCTGTGTTTAAGTGGTAATTTTTGAGGGATGAATGATTAACGTAACATAACTTAAAATTAAAATTAACAAAAGTTTAAACATACATATTATGTTTTCTATTCCAGCAAACAAATGTATTTCATCATTGAACATAAAAAAGGATTAATGAAGTATGTAAATAATATTTTAAATATTTCCTTTTGTACACTCAGGGGGTAGATTTGCAGATCACACTCTTCTTATTTCTCCTTATACTGATGATGTTATGCTTTTTATATCAGATTTAGAAAATATTTTTTCTGTGGTTTTATTCAAAGAATAATTCATGTTCTTTCAACACACCTAAAGCAATTACAATATTATAGTCCTGAAATGTTCCTGCTAATACAACTCAGTTATAATGTAACTAGTTTAATTATTATGGACAGTTTCTATTACCTTTACATTTACATTTTGTTATATGTGCCCTAAATATATCATTTTGATATTATGGAGAAGGTATTGCAGTTTTTTTCCAAATAAAGCGGAGACAGAAAATTTTAATAATGCTGGACAGGGCCTCCTACAAACTGAAAAATGAGATAGGACAAAGATCAAGTTAGTTTAGCCTGGGTTCACTAGACTTTCTGTATGCTCCATTTGTTAACAGATAGCCTAACATCAATGCTGGGGTTAGTTAGACAATATATCTATAATAAAAGTTGTGTCAGGTGAGGTTTCTTGAATAACTGATAATTCTGTGTTAAAATCAGAGTAATAGCAATTTGTCAAAAAAAAAAAACTTCTACACAATGTCTGGTAATTGTGGACTAACAGAAACTCTGGATTTGAGCTCTCTACCTCTATAGAAATACTATTAGCAGGACACTCAAACAAAAACCAACACACACACACAACACACACACACACACACACACACACACACACACACACACACACACACAGGTACCTGTATCAAGACACTCGAACCGCACCATGAAGGGCTCTCTGGCGAGAGTGTCTTCAGCTGTTTCTTTGTACTGGTGGTAGTTGATCAACGTCACCTCATTCCTTCTAAAAACACACACAGACAGACGCAGATGCATATGTGTGTCATAATCGATAATCGACAGACATACACTGATACGCTGATGAGTCGGTTTCCAGAGTGAGTTTTTGACTGTTTACCTAAAGAAGAAGACAAACTTCTCTTTGTAGGTGCTTCGTCCCAGAGATTGGCTGCTCCTTATGCCGTACAGATGAGGTCCGCTCCTTCAGTCAAAAAACAGAAACAACTGGAACTGAAACACTCACACAGTTTCAACCAGCAGCATTTATTAATCATCATCATCATCATCATCATTATGGGTTTCTGTGCGGGAGCACAGTATTTAATTTTTGAATTTGTTTTAGTTTGTTTAGTTTAATCATGAGATTCTGTTTAGTTCTGTTTATTTAAAAGCTAGATTCAATCTGTATATAGAGACAGAAGTCCAACTCCCTCTCCCAACTTGCCTCTGCTCCATGAATCTCTGTAACTCTAATTATTATCTCATGTTTGTCACCGTCTTCTCTAAAAACATTGAAACACATTCAGAAAGGCATCTTCACAAACAAACTTTGACTACTGATAAACTTCAAATTTACACATGGCACAAAGCTGTCTTGTTCTTGACTGTATTAAGTAGGACTAATTAATAAATATGTATTCTCTAAGTCATTTTCATGTCTGTGTATTATCATAAACAGATATATAGTTAGTTGGCTGCAGTTGCATGAAAGCTTCTGTTGGCAAAAAACATTTCTACTTCTGAGTTCTACATAAATACGTGCCGGGCCCTGTCAAAATACGTCCCTGGGGAGGTCGTGTCCACGTGTGGACAACGTACTTATTGAGTTCTTGGAGGAAAAATTTCATGGCCTCGCCAGTTTGATCCACCACCTCTAGCATCACCACCACGCTGTACCGAGACACAATCTGCACCAAACACAACCACAACAGAAGACAGCAAACAGCGAACAATGAACATGTCTGGAAGTACATTTAAATTGTCATATTGGGACACACAAAGTGTTACTAATAACTTATTATAATTAATAGTAGCTTGGTTGTCATCAAGTGTCCCTTTAAGCTGTGACAATGAACCAGTGTGAAGCAGCTAAATGGGATTCAACCATCATTAATTCTAATATGTACAGTATTTCTAACTGTGAAGGAATGTTTTTAGTCAATAAACAGGGTAAATAGATAATCAATACTGATACAAAAGAAACAGATCCAAATACTAATTATGTATTTCTATTGTAAGAATAAATCATTTTTACAGGAACAGGCATTTCTTTAAATCTGGCCTGAACAGAGGTCTTATTTCTCTGATCATCATACAAACAAACACAAAACGCACAACATACAAATATACAGTAGTTCCTTTTCACTGTATTTTCACACTCAGCATGACAAAAATATAAAATTGAATAAGTAATTGTACTGAATATCAGAGATATCAGAGATGTTTTAATGAATTATGACTTACCTTGATAAGTTTTTCCCGCACATCCTTATTTCCGACTTTATCCATTCCCAGTCTCTGGACATTGAAGGCTGCAATCTTCATTTTTACTATAAAAACAAAATTCACATAAGTTCAGAAGTTGAAAAAAGACACTGTCCACCATCTTTAGTTTAGCAGGTTAGCATGACAACATTTGCTTAGTGCAGCTGAGGAAAGACGAGGAAGGTTAATCTTCATGAACATTAAGTGTAGTATATCTAATCCTTTCTTTTCTATTTATCTAGAGAGGCTGAAAATGTATTTCCATATAAAGTACATTTACAGTATTATTACTTACTATTTATTGGTCTACTTATTCTTGATGTTTTGATGATTATTCAGGTTATTGCGCCTGATGATATATGTTCTGATTGTATAGGTTATTTTTGTTTATTCTCTTGTTTGTTTTGAGTTATTTTACACTTTTGTGAATTACATTTTTAAATAAAAGTTCAGCTGAGGCTGATGGGACTATGGAAAGTTGGAGGATCGCCAAAGTTATTACAATTCATTAATTCATTAATTGGTCATGATTTTTAAGATATAAAAATAACTAATACATAATTAATAAGCACATAACTGCCGTTTTAATTAAAACACATTAGTCAAAAACCTTTGATGCAGTTTTCTCAGTTTCATTGTCAGCGTAGATACTGCGGTTAGGCTTTGCAGGGCAGTGTAGTCATGGCAACAAAAACACTTAATAAGCGGGAAACTATGAGACTGAACTTAACGGAAATAGTTCATCAGATGAAAAAGAGGCAATGAAAGCAGAAAAGCCACATGTGAGAGTTTCAGCTGCACCTGAAAGCATTAGATTATTTTCTTTATATTGTTGTAATTTGGTTTCACTAACATTGATTATTATTGAAACCTCTGCATGTTGTTATACATTTATATGTGTTAACCAATATTCAATTAAATTTTATTTGCATAGCGCCAAATCATAACAGAAGTTATCTCAGGACACTTTTCAAATAGAGCAGGTCTGGACAGAACCGACGGCGGCAAAGAAAAACTTCCTTTTAAGAGGCTGCAACCTTGGACAGACCCCGACTCTAGGTGGGTGACAGTCTGCCTCGACGAGTCTCTTTTCTTTTTTTTTACTTTAAATGCATTTTTTTTTTACAAGAGCCATATTTTACAGTACAGGAGATGGCTTGAAAAGCTTTAAACTTCCAAGACACCAATGTAATGAGACAGCTGACTCCATGACAGACAAATACACTTTAATCGGCATCCCATGAAGCCAAATAGATGGGGTGAACCAGCAACTATAGCTGCTCAGAAGATAAACCCTTAAAAAGTGGAAGAATTAAGGTCCAGGGTTCAAGTACAGTCAAGTCCTTTGGGATAAGTGGTGATAAGATGTCTCTATTTGGTCTAACCATTAAAACTGCTTCATTAACCAACACAACTGTAGCGTCTGTATAAATGTGTATATAAAAATACCATTAAAAACTAAACATCTTGCTCCTCTCCAAGAAGAGCAGGCCATGTCATTTGAAATTGTGGTGCACATCATTTAAGACAATAAAAATAAAAAAATAACATTAAAGACAACTCTACATGGACAGTGCATCCAGACATGCAAACACAAACAAATAAAGTAGTTTTACACACTATGAAGAAAAACTGTATATATGCATTAATCTAATTGATCTGCAAACATATTAAACAGACATCCTCCTTTATCTGTTCAAGTAAATGTACATTACACCTGAACTCCTGAAGAAAAAACAAGTAAATGTGTAAAATAGATAAAAGGAGAGAATTAAAGTGAAGTTCAGTTTTAAAACTCAAAAATAGGTCAGTCTGGCAGGTTTCCCGCCAAATCTGTCCACACGATGAGAAATGATTCAGCAACACATGAAGTCAGATAGATTAACTCTCTCATAAATTAACACTTTTAGCACTCAGTAGTAATAAAGAAACAAACTCACCCATCTGGTTGGAATACTGAAATATTAAAACAGCAGAGAGCAGCAGAGGTTGTTTCAGCGCCGGTTGGACGGACGAGACTGAAAGTTCCTACAGCAAGCAGTCCTATTAAAGAGAGAGAGAGACAGCGAGAGAGAGAGACAGTGAGCGAGAGAGAGACAGGAAGTTTGTTGGCAGCCGAGACGTTGGCGCCAAAACACAAAATGATCGACCGTCAATTCATGCACAGAAAAAAATGCCCAAAAAGTAGCTGAGACAACTTTTACTCAAAGTGTCCATAACAACAATTTCTCTCATTTATACTTTATACGTCTGCTCCACTTTTCAGAGGGAAACACTGAAGAGTAATTTAATCCATTATTTGGTTCTCAATCTCACTTATTACAAAAACATCTGAATCTATTTGAGATTACCCAAAAATTCAGGAAAACCAAAAAATAAACTGAATGAAAAAATAAAATCACATCACAACTCTTCAGATTTATCTGGTGACCTTCCGGAGGGGCCCGACCCTCAGATTGGGAACCGCTGGTCTTTAAGGTGGAGATTCAAATAAAAAAGGCGGCTAAAAAGTGGCGGGTGGAAACCGTCTCTCATTGCCGACACACACACTCACACACAGCTGGAAACAGCTAGCTGTTGTTCTGTTTGCATCGTCGTAGCTGAGGTTGGTTGGGAGTAAGTCTTTGTTTTAGAGGATCCAGTTCCAGCTTTCTCAGCTTTGGGAGAGATCCAGTGAGCTACCAGCTGCCCCTGATGATTGATACTGGACTCTAAAACCCATCATATCCAATGTGTCTGCAATGTGCTCAACTTAACATCGTTCTTGGTCGGTTACATTTTTATGAACTAAAACCTCTAGAAATAAAAGAGATGTTTGTTGTTGTTGTGTTTTGGTTTGTAAGATTTTAATACCAGCCATGTTCTGTTTTTGAACATCAGACAAAGAGAAAAGATAACTTTTTAAGGAAAAAGAAAGTATAAAAATACTCTTTCATGATTAGTTTATTTCAGATAACACGAAGCCATAAGCGCTATGAATAAGTAATGTTAGATCCCGAGTTACCCCTGTATAGGTGGTACTGGACCAGCTCTCCGTTGTAAAGGGTCCGAGCCTCTTGCCTATGAGTATTACCCTATAGGTTAAAAAGAGGACTGTTTAAGCTGGTGGCGAGGAGACACACCTAGCTTCTAACTGCCTTCATCCGAACGCCCATCCTGCTCACTCTAGTGCAGCACCTGACCGAATAGCCCTAGAGCCAAGTACCACACTAGCCACGTTCGTTAACGGCAGCTCTCCTCTTACTGATCTGTGCACTTGGTGGTTGCTAGGATTATTTTAGTGGCTTGGACAGTAAGCCCCAAGGGTCTGTTTAATTTATTTGACTAGAGTAACTTGTTAGAACCTTCAAGATATTAAACACACTACCTAATAATTCAATTCAATTTTATTTATTTAATTTTATATTTAATTATTGCCTGTAGAGATATCATAAATCCAATGTCCACTATTTATTCTTTAACTTCAGTTGTTATTTTTTATTGCAAGATTTTAAGAAGGGCTAGCACACAGCTTAATATTGATTCAACATTGACTATTCACATCTACTGATAAAGATTAATTATCTCTGACATTGAAAATAGTTATTTAAATTTCAAACCCTGATGAGAAGGCTGTAGCTGAAGGGTTAAATGTCCAGTTTGAAGAGAGAGAGGGAAGAGGTGCACTGGCCAATACAGTCTTTCCATGCCTGCCAGTGCAGTCTCTGATGGCAGGGTGAACTAAAGAGTGATCCTTGGTGATCAATTGGAATCCTAAAGCCGGGTGGAGATGGTTAATCCTCCTCTGCTCGACACTCCCGTCTCAGCTTTAGATTGTTGGACTTCTCTTTCTGCGATGTTAGGCTTGTTCGTTGCTCTATCTCTTGAGTTGACATTCTAAGTTCAAAGATGAGTTGCTCCGATGTGGTCGATCGATCAGCAAGTCTTGAACCCGAGAGCCGGCCGATGAATAACCCCGATCCTCCTTGTGCAGAACCTTTTATCCCCCTTGTCTCCTAGGGTGTTGTTCGGTTCATACCTAGTACTTCCTCTTTTGCTTCTCACAAGATGTGTCCTGTGTGTGTGCTCATCCTTACATCCTGTGTATGCGGTCCAACTTCCCTTTTCTCTCAGCACCAGGCATGTCCGGTTGCAATATATGCCTTATTACCTAGTGTTACGGCCACCTCCATTATCTGGAGATGTGTAGCTGTGTTGTGCAGCTGTGTCATGTTAAGCAGGATGTGTGATCCCTTGCCGAGGATTGGCTGGCATTGCATCGAATACCTGTGATAGGGGAACCTTTCGAACGTGTAATAATAGACTGTGTCGGATCCTTGCCCAGAACTAAAAGCGGAAATCAATATTTACTCACAGTAATGTGCGCTGCCACTCGCTTTCCCGCTTTTTTTTGGTCTTCCCCGGGTGATTAAAACTGATCAAGGCTCCAGTTTCCAGTCTAGACTAGTTAATCAAGTTCCTATTGCAGTGCAGTCCTATTGCAGGAGGATGTTAATGGTGTGGCTCATCCTGTGTGTTATTTTTCCTGTAAGTTTAACAGGCACCAGGCTAACTACTCGACCATTGAAAAAGAAACCCTTGCTTTGCTGTTGGCCCTACAACACTTTGAGGTATATGTTGGTTCCAGTTCTCTGCCAGTTGTAAATTACAATGACAATAACCCACTTGTGTTTCTTTCCCGCATGTATAACCACAACCAGCGACTCATGCGGTGGGCCTTGGTCGTGCAAGATTACAACCTGGATGTACGTCATAAGAAAGGATCTGAAAATGTGTTAGCTGATGCTCTATCAGGAGTATAAAAATAGTCTTAGTTGTAAGGTGGTGGTTTTGTTACAAACTTATGGTTTGCATCTTAAGGGGAGGGGTGTTACAGCCACCTCCATTATCTGGAGATGTGTAGCTGTGTTGTGCAGCTGTGTCATGTTAAACAGGATGTGTGATCCCTTGCCGAGGATTGGCTGGCGCGAGACCTGCCTACTTCCTGGTTCCAGCCGGTGATCTGATTGGTGCGGCGTCTGGCAATCCCTCCAATCATCTACCGCCTTCCTCTATTTAAATAGCTGCCTACCTGTTGAACGGGTAGTTGTGATTTTGCCCTTGATCAACTCGCCTGTGTGTATTGTGCTCTACTGTTGTAAATGTGTTAACTTCTGTAAGAGCCTTAGTTTAAGTATAAGATCCTAGTGTCTCCTGTGTTGCCTAAATCGGAACTGTGGTAAGGAAATTGGGCAAGGATCTAGGTGGGGGTAACTGATACACACCGGACACCTGTAGATTGATTTTATGTTAGACACACTAGGTTTTAGAGGGTGCTGCTTAATTTGTATTTTTGATTATTGATGACGGGTCAGAGTTTTGTTTAATTTGATTTTGAAGTAGTCAGTGGCTATCTCTCATTTTGGAGAGACCTTTTTAAGTTATATTTGTTTATATTTATTTGTTTGTTTTGTTTGAGTTAAGCAGCAAAGCTCTAGTAATTGATAAGTTGGTGGAACAAGGAGTGATTGTAGGACCTGAGCAAATTGAGTCTGCTGCCATTGCTGTTGGCATCCCAGCTCCGGCTGAGGAGGGCCAAAGCCTTGAGGCACAAACAGCCTCCAGGATGGAAGGCAAGGAAGGTGGGCGGGTGAAAACACCGTTCACGCTTCCCCGCTATGATCCATCCCCTTCGATCAGTACTGGCTCCAGAGACGAGGCCCGACTGAAGGTTCGCCTTGCCCGTCTCCAGTTGGAAGCCCAGGAAAAGGATCGTAAAAGGCAGGCACAGTTCCATCTTCAGCTGGAAGTTAAAAAGCTGGAGATTGAGGCTGACAAGGCTGTGAGGCTGCGGAAGCTCGAGCTTGAGACTCAGACAGCAGGGCAAGTGCGAGGTGCAGTCGCAGGTATGACACCTTTTTCCACCATCTCCACTAATGTTGGTCAAACAGCATTTGATGTTAGTAAGCATATTGCTTTAGTGCCTGTGTTTCGTGAGACTGAAGTGGACTCCTATTTTGGTGTGTTTGAGCGTATTGCGGCTGCATTGCAGTGGCCGGCTGAGGTATGGTCACTCTTACTTCAGTGCAAAATTCATGGAAAAACCCAAGATGCCATTGCTGCCCTCTCCTTAGAAGAAAGTTTAAGTTATGACACTGTGAACACTGCCATTCTGCGTGCTTACGAGTTAGTCCCCGAAGCATATAGGCAGAAATTTAGAGATCACAGGAAAGCTCAGAGTCAAACCACGAGCCGGGTCGTAACACTAGTTACTTAACACTTCAACATGATTTGCTCTCTTGACCTTACTTTCCATAGTTCTATCTTAGGCCTTTATGCCTTTATTTGATAGAGAGACAGCTGGAGATAGACAGGAAAGGGGGGCAGAGAGAGAGGGGATGACCTGCAGCAAAGGGCCGCAGGTTGGATTGGAACCCGGCTTTAAAAGCAGATCCGATGAATTCCCTAGGAGGAGTTCGTTCAAATATAACGCGAAAAGTTAGCCGAAAGTGAAACTGAAAATCAAAATGGCTGACTTCCTGTGGGGTTTCGGGTATGGGTCCAAGAGGCTGTTTTGTGCGTCCCGGCATGTTACACGTGCTTACCGGGTTTCATACATATCAGTGAAACTCGGCGCCGGGGCTGCTTTTTTAAAATCCTGTAGGGGGCGCTACACACACGACAAACAGGATTTTTGGTATGTGAGCTTCAGGCACTACTCTACACGTGTCCTGTGAATTTCATATTCATAACTATTACGGTCTCCGCACAGTGATGTATCCTGCCAAAAGAGCGCCACCTAGTGGCGGATTGTTGACACATTTATTAGTGAGCCTCAGGGAGCCATGGGCTATCATCGTACCAAGTTTAATTTTAATCACACGTGCCGATGCAGAGATATAAACGTCTTCATTTAAAAGTGCGCCAGCTTGTGGCGATGGCCGGCAATTTTGCACGATGTCTAAGCATAAGTTATTAGCCTAAACGCACTTTTCATGATAGTAGCGCCACCTAGTGGCCGACCTGAAAGCGTCGGATGGAATAATACATTTTTCGAGCGCGTTGCAGCCTCCAAATATGCAGTCGAAGGGGCAGAATATAATAATAAGAATTCCTTAAATTACAATACAGCTTTTGGTTATTATAATCTCTGTGCATTACGTTATTCACATGGAGAGTCCGTAATGCTCCGTTGTTATCTTTCTCCGTTACTCGAAAGTCCTTTGCTTTCCAAAGTGGTTATAGTGGATCAGGGATCTCAACTTACTTACTTACTTAAACATTCAACAAACTATCTACAAAAACGTTATTACGTCTTAACTTTACTTTAGCTCCACATTTCTCTCTCTTTTCTCTTCTCTCCTTCTCGTCGATTCTCTCGTATCTCCTGTGTTCCCCCTTTTTTTTATTCACCAAATTTCCTGATAATCCATCCAACAGTTGAGATATTTCACTGGATAAGTGAAAACGCTGCAGAGGAGATTGGGAGATCATTAAAGTCACTGAAATTAATTCTCTGGGGACCAAAAACATCTGCACCAAATTTAACTTCAGCAATATTAATAATAATGTTTATATTATTTATAAGACAAGAATCTAATTCTAAAAACAGGTTTACATATATTTTACAATTATCATCTTAATAGGTTAAACATCCCAAAATAATGTTTGCTTCATTGTTTTCTACTTTTTAAGCATGCAAACAATAAGAAATACAAACTTAATGAAATAAGAAAAACTGTCAGAAGAAAACACTCAGACTGTCTCTATTTTTGAACATCAGACAAAGAGAAAAGAGAACTTTTCAAGGACAAAGAAAGTACAAAAATACTCTTTCATGATTAGTTTATTTCAGATAACACGAAGCCATAAGCGTTATGAATAAGTGAGCAGTGATATAAGGAACTGCCGATGCGTCTGCACATATTGTCTAATGTTGTGTCATGATGAGGTTATCTGCTGGGACATCCGTCTTCTTCTGATGTCCTGTTAAATTTACAAAAAGACACAAAACAGGAAATATAGTTCAGACAGAAAAAGAAACAAGAGAACATCTGATATCAACATCCATCATTAAAGCTCTGATTCGGACTTTGGTGACCTCTAGTGTAAAAACAGACACTGTTGCTGACAGACGTACCCGATAACTCCTTAACAGTTACTGACTCAGGGAAACTGAGAATGAATGAAGTCAAATGTATTTCTATACTGTGGTATTACTACTTTTACTTAAATAAATGGTCTCAGTACTTCTTCCTGTTGTCCAATGTCTTGGAGAGAAGGTTGCATATAAATGGCACCAATTCGGTGACCAAAAACTACACACAAGAACTTTAAACACCATAAAATACTAAATTTACTTTGTAGTGACCTTTTTGTTTATCATATACACAAACATAGTGCAGGTGAAAGAATAATTACTGATATATACCTTTCTCTTCGTTGGTTGCCTTCGGAGCTCATTTGTTGATGTTAGTTCTCCCTCAGCACCACCTCCACAGGGTAGTGGTCACTGATGGCTTTAGTCTGGAAGAAAAGTCATAAATATTTTTTAAAGGACCATGTTGTGAATTTGAAAGTTTTCCAACTGATCTCAGACAGTCTTATATATTCCTCAGTCTTACTTTGGCATCAGACAGACGGTATTGCCTCTGGAAGTTGAAAGCCCGAGCTGAGCGGGGAACCACAGCGTCGTACATGTCATCTCCAAACACCACAATCCTGTTGGCAGAGAGACTCGGGATTTAGCCTTTGAACTTCCTCTAGTAATCCCATTCACCTAACAAACACTTATTCTGTATCTCTAGAGGTATATAGCCATGCTGATATGGATCCAAAGTTTAAGATAATAAACCAAACTATAAAAACATTGACAAGATAATGGCATATATATCAATTCTTTAAATGTAATGTTACACCACAAAGTAAAATCCTTTCACCTCTATTTGTTTTTTTAAAAGTGGAGGCAGAAATTTTAGTAAAAGCAACTGTATTTCCTCGGTCATACTTATATTACCTGTCGTAGGTGTGGTCAGTAGAGTTACTTGTCGTGGTGTCGACATCATCACCTATCAGCCAATGGTAGTCAGGAGAGAAGATGCTGATCCTTTCCTTCTTCTTCTTGGAGAGGTAACGTCCATCGGCATTAAAGTCCCCCAGAATAATAATGTTCTGCAGAACAAAAATCAAACTAAGAACAACAACCAACTGAATCCAGAGTCTTACAGTGATATATTAAATATATTAAGAAATGCACAATAAGATAATTTTAACGTGACTTTTTAATTTTAATTAGAATGCACTAATAAAACTAACTATTTATTCTTCATCCTCTGTATTTATTCTTCATCCTCTGTATTTATTCTTCATCCTCTGTATTTATTCGATTTCATTCACTTTCAAACTCACATCAGTTTCCCATCTTCTCCTCACAGCTTCAACCACATGCTCCAGAGCGTCCAGCTCTATTTCTGCATCCTCTGGTTTGGTGTGGACTGGGATCAGAACCAGGTGCTCCGCAACTGAAAGCACAAACACACACATTAACAAATGGACACACACACACACACACACACACACACACATTTGACCCTAGTAAACCTAGAAACATTCACAGTGTAATGCCTAATTATAACCCTAACCTTTAAACCTAGTCCGATATAGTTTCAAACAGTTGTTGGAAATGTTGTCACTACAATGGTCCTCACAAAGCAAGATAAAACCACACACACAGGTGTAACTACCTGTATTTGGACAGTCAAACAGGACAACAAAGGGCTCTCTTTCGAGGACGTCTACATCTTCTTTTTCTTCGTACTGGTAGGACTCGAGCATGCTCACCTCAGCCTCTCTGAGACACACACACACACATTTTGGTATATATTTTTTACATTTATTACTTTCCTTTATTTATTTGTTTATAAATGTATTTGTGAGTTAGCAGGATATCTATAAAAGCCATTAAGAATTTCAGGTGTTTGGTCCAATAGCACCAACATGTTATCGTTTATAAATCACTTTAACAGTAAAGGAGTCGAGGAAAAATCCGTTTTTCACTATTTCTTGGTTGAAAAGTGTTGAGCAGTCACTGTACTCAGTTAATTAGTTTATACCTGTAGAAGAAGACAAATTGCTCCCTGTAGGAGCCTCGTCCCAGAAAGACACTGCATCTCATGTTGTACGGACGTTGTCTGTTCCTTCTATCAAAAGACAAACAACAAGAACTGAAACTTTTCTAGACAAATTTATGAGTGAATACATTTGGAACTGTTTAAATTGTTCTACATGAACTTTTGACTCCAGTATTTTGACTTATTTGACAAAGATTTGTATCGAAACAAAGCTCCAGTGTGTAATATATATAATATATTATATATATATATAATATAATATAATATAATATAATATCCACAGGTATGTTTTCATTAGTGTAAAATCATCGTTGTGTTTTGGTTACCTTAGAATGACTCGTTTTTATCCAACTATTGAACTACCATGTTTCTACAGTAGCCCAGAACGGACAAACCAAACTTTGACTCACAGTTTTGCCCCCACGCTTGGAAAGGGAGGGAAAAATCCTACACACCGGACCTCTAAGCAGCTATGAATTCTGGGTAAATTAAGACTAACTCTCCTGGGACGTACAGGTCTTACCCATAGTTGTTGAGTTCCGTGAGGAACTTGCCCATGGACCTGCCGCCGTGACCCATGACCTCCAGCATCACCACCACACTGTACCGAGACACAATCTGCACCAACCAACACACACTAAAATAAATCTGCATTAAACACAGCGCAGATATAGAATAGAAAACAATAGAATAAGAGCAACAAGAATACAGTTTGAATTGTCATATTAGGAATAATACAGGTGTCACTAATGACATTAACATTGGTTTCGTTCTATTTGAATGTCCCAGGAAGTCGTGACAGTGAGCCAGTGTGAAACTAAAGCTGCTAAATGGAATAAATATTACCAAAATGTCTTTAGTGAAGAATTTCAATCCTAAATCAGGAGAAATATTTCAGATAAAGAACCAAATACAGTAATATTATTAAAGCATTTTTTGTTCTTAGTGTCACACAGTGTAAAATACTGAAAAGAGGATTTTATGTGATGATCATACAAACAAACAAACAAACAAACAAACAAACAAAGCCCCTCTCATTGTATTTTCACACACATGACAAAAACAGGAAATCTCTATACAAATATATATATTGAATTAAATGAATGAATTATGACCAGCAGAGTTACCTTTATAAGATTTGTCCGAACAGTCTCATTGTTGATTTTATTCCATCCCAGTCTCTGGACATTGAAGGCTGCGATCTTCATTTTTACTATAAAGACAAAATTAAACAGGATTTAATGTCTATAGACACGTTAGCACCTTTCTTTATTATTTATCTTAAGAGGCCGCAAATGTTTGTCCATATAAAAAAATGGATTAATAGAATAATAGATGGAAAGTTGGAGAATCACCAAGTCATAAAAATTTGAAAAAATGAAGGTTTTTACCAAATTGTGTGACAATCCATATAATAATTGTTGAGATATTTCAGGAAAAATAATCAGGATTCATCCTTTAATGTCTAATAAACAGAGCCAATCCATCAGGTAGAAGTTGAGATATTTCTCTGGATAAGTGAAAACACTGCAGGAAAGATCAGGAGTTTTATTTGGCTCATAAAGATCTGCACCAATTTTAATTTCAGTCCTGAAAGTCGCTGTTGAGATGTTTCAATCTTGTACCAAAGTTGTGAACCGACTGACTGACTGACCATGGAGGCACACTGCTGTCATGGCAACAAAAATAAAAGCTTTTATGAGCGGGAAAATATGAGATTGAACAAGAAGGAAATGAGAAGAAGCCACATGTGAGAGTTCCAGCTGCACCTGAAAGCATCAGATTACTTTCTTTCTATTGTTGTAATTTGGATTTACTAACATTGATTATTATTGAAACTTCTGCATGTTGTTATACATTTATGTGTTTACCACCAAAAAAATAATACTTTTGACATCTAGACACGTAAACACACAAAAATAATATACTTTTACACACTAAAAAAACTGTACAGATGCATAAATCTAAATTATCTGCAAACATATTAAACAGACATCCTCCTTTATCTGTTTAAGTAAATGTACATTACACCTGAACTCCTCAAGAGTTCATGTGTAAAATATAGATAAAAGAAGGAGAGAATAAAAGTGAAGTTCAGGTTTAAATAAAAACTGAACATGATGTTTTTATCACCTGTATTCATTAAAATCAAATATAGGTCAGTCCGGCAGGTTTCCCGCTAAATCTGCCCACACAATGGACATAAAGTCAGATAGATTAAGAATAAATAAATAAATAAATGAACACTTTTTAACCTGAATTGTAATAATAAAGAAACAAACTCACCGATCTGGTTGAGATGAAAACTGAAATATTAAAACAGCAGAGAGCAGCAGAGGTTGTTTCTGCGCCGGTTGGACGGACGACTGAAAGTTCCTACAGCAAACAGTCCTATTAAAGAGAGAGTGAGACAGCGAGAGAGAGAGACAGGAAGTTTGTTGGCAGCCGAGACGTTGGCGCCAAAACACACAATGATTGACGGTCCATAACAACAGTTTCTGTCACTGAAGTGTTTCATTTAATCCATTATTTGATTCCTAATCTTACATATTACTAAAACAGCTGAATCTATTTGAGATTATTTCCTCGTCCTGTTTCAGTGATTTCACTTAAGAAACTCTTCTATAGGGTTCAGGTAAATACATGTTTGAGGCTTAAATCACTCAATAATTCAGGAAAAGGCAAGAAATGAAAAATAAATCACATCACAACTCTTCAGATTTATCTGGTGACCTTCCAGAGGGGCCCAACCCTCAGTTTGGGAACCGCTGGTCTTTAAAACTTACTGTATAAAACCTATATAAAACTAAAAGACTGAACTCGTAGTAAAATGCTGCTCTAACACTGACTGACTATTAAAATGTGATACAAACTGTTAATTAGTTAAAGGATATGTAGCAATTATAAATCCCAGGGAACAGTTTAAGATTACACATAAACTACAAAGCATTCAGGCCCCTATGTGCATTTAATGTGCCTCTGTTTGGAAATGACTTCATGTATAGTTTGCTGTCTATTGAGTTTAATCCTCTACAGAGAATCTGAAGCCTCCAATCAGCCTCACCTGAATCAAACACACATAAGAGAAGTCTTCTACGGTACTGTGCACGGTTACAGCTTCAGTTAGTCGATGTCAAATCACCTGTTTCAAGTTGGCTTCATAACCATCTCCCATTGGAAAGACTCAAACGTGTTCTCAGAGGAGACATTAGTGGGTTTTCTCTGCTTTGGAGGCCTGTTATAGACTTTATTATTATAAAACTTTATTGATTTTGCAGCTCTGGTATACAAATGATCCCTGAAGGGTTAAACCGAGATGTTATTAACATTTAATCGATATCTGGATCTAGTATTTGTGTTATTTTTGTTCTTTATAAGGGTAATGTTGAGTTTATTACCTGTATAAACTAAAAATAAAATAAAATGATTGAAAGAAAATAACATTTTACCATTTTTTTAAGTTGACTTTTGATACTTTAAATACATTTTACATCTGTACTTTTACTTGTTATTGCGTTATTTTTAGTTTTTAGTTGTTTTAACCTTTAACAATACGTTTTCAAAGCTTATTTTAATTGTATATGAAAAATCTTAATATTCAAAATATCTTACGGCTGTAAAATAAATATAGAGGAGAGAAAATGTACCTCTGCAGTAAGCAGCACAAAATGGAAATCCCACTTCACTTTTTCATGTAACTTTCTTCACATTAGAATAAAAAAAGGCTTTATGAAAAACACAAATCCCGGCAGAAAATATGTTTCTAAAGAACTTTAAATTCAGTGAAAAAGATTTTCTGATGGACGACCAACGGTCAGAGCTTCAGGTGGAGAGTCAGTGAAATTTTAAAAAAAGGCGGCTAAAAAGTGGCGGGTGGGAACCGTCACTCAGGGTCAGTATTAAGGATTTGATTTCCCCTTCCTGCTGCCCACACACACACACACACACACACACACACACACACACACACACACACACACACACACACACACACACACACACACACACACACACACACACACACATTCTTGTTGCTGCATATTTCCATGATGTCTCATCCAGGATGTTTGAAACAATAGAAATAATCCGGTTCCCTTTTTTTATTTTAACTGTTTGAACATCAGTTTTGGAATTTCCCCATTGTGGGACAAATAAAGGAATATTTTATCTCTTATCTTATCAGAACTCCTCTATTAAGTTTATTATGTTCAAATTAATGACCAGATTTTACTCTGAAGATCACTCAGACTCTCTCCAGAGTATCATCGAGAGTATTATTCTCTTAAATATGAACAACATTCTCTGATTCTGTCTCAACCAAATATATTGTTGAACTAAGAAAAGATCAGATCAAACTTTATTGATCCCAGGACAGACATTTATAAGACAGGAGAAAAACATGTGTGTGTTAAATATGAAGACTTTAACACCACTTTAAATGTTAAATATTAAAATGTTTGTTATTTAAAAGGTTTTCTAGGCATCAATTAATTGGACAGAATCATACTAAATGTATTCTGTTGTGATTAATAAGAACGTTTCAATCCCAGGTTTATGTAGGCGATCTGAGTGCGGGGATAAAACACAATTCAAATCTTTCAGAACAACATCGATTATTTCATTTCATATTTGTTCATTTTAATCCATTTTCATGACTGGAAAACTAAACTCAAGGACTTGTTGGGACCTTGATAATAAAGGACAGGTGCAATCAGGTGATCAATAGAAGAACAGGAACATCCAATGACCGTTACCTCGATGGAAAACACCATGAGGTAACGGAAAGATGTATAGAAACTTTATTTATAACACATCAAAGACTAAAACAAACTCCAGTAACGTTTCCTTTCCCCAGAAACAATCACAGCTCCTCAGAAAGGATGTTTACAGTTCATACATTGGTACATTTAACCATCAATCACTCAAACGAAGGAACAACAACTGATATCGTTGACAATAAAAACAAAAAGTAAACAGGAAATGTTGGAAAAAGAAAGTTGAGCCATTAAAATAATCATTAAATATATTTATAATTTGTTATGTTACTGTTGATTATATTCAATTCAATTCAATTCAATTCAATTCAATTCAATTTTATTTGTACAGCTCCAATTCATAACAGAAGTTATCTCAGGACACTCTTCAAATAGAGCAGGTCTAGACCGAACTCTTTAAAACATTAATTACAGAGACCCAACAGTACCACCATGAGCAAGACCTTGGAGACAAGGGCAAGGAAAAACTGCCTGTTAAAAGGCAGAAACCTAGGACAGACCTCCTTTGGCTCTAGAGAGACAGACAGACAGACAGACAGACAGACAGACAGACAGCAACAACAGTATTGGCAATGGCAATCTAGCAGGACAGTACTGTCTCTTAGGTGTACTCTTTTTATCTGCTCCTTTCTGTGCATTTCTGGAATACCCTGCAGTGCTGCAGCACTACAGCACTTTAAATTGTATTTGTATATTATATATGTGTTATGTATTGTTTCATGGCTTTGTTGTAAAGCACTTTGGGTACCTTTCGGCTATTGTAAAGGGCTATACAAATAAACTTGATTTGATTTGATTTGATTTGACCATGTCAGGAGGCTCCACCAGGATCGACAAGAACCTGCGAGACGAGAAAGCACAAGAACTCCGGGGAAGAAGTGAAGTTAGTAACATGCATTAATGGAACATGCATGAGTGCAGAAAGAGAGAGGAAGGGAGGAGCTCAGTGCACCATGGGAAATCCCCCGATAGTCTAGGCCTGTAGCAGCATAACTAAGGGATGGTTCAGGACTCACCTGATCCAGCCCTAACTATAAGCTTTATCAAAGAGGAATGTCTTAAGCCTACTCTTGAATGTGGTGAGGGTGTCTGCCTCCCGAACCACAACTGGAAGCTGGTTCCACAGGAGAGGAGCTTGGTAACTGAAGGCTCTGGCTCCTGTTCTACTTTTAGAGACTATAGGAACCACAAGTAGCCCAGCATTCAGAGAACGTAGTGTTCTAGAGGGGTAATAGGGTACTATGAGCTCTTTAAGATATGAAGGGGCCTGACCATGAAGAGCTTTATAGGTGAGGAGGAGGATTTTAAATTCTATTCTACATTTTACAGGGAGCCAGTGCAGAGAAGCTAGTACAGGAGAGATGGCATAAACTGTTAACCATGGTGAAATGTTTACTGGTGTAAGGAATTATGGGACGGTGTTGTCTTGCTTTGGTCCAGAGTATCTTCTGCTACAGGAGATAATAAAAGAAGAACTGAAGCTCATTTCTTTCACATTTAGAGAATTCAAACAGCTCCGGCTCACTTCAGGGAGAAACCTTCGTATTATTTATGTGTTTTTATCTTCAAACATGTCTTTTGGGATCTTATATTATTTATAGTGATATCACCAAACACAGCTGGAGTACAGGAGGTGATAAAAGCAAGTAAAGGGACATTGAAGGAGAAATTCTTCACCAATATTGAGAGTTACTCGTTCTCTGAAGAACAATGTGATGAATCCCTTTATTCATGCATGGAGACCTCAGCATAGATGTTCTACCCCATCTACAACATTCATCCACCACAACATACCTGAGGCTGTTATTCAGGGTTGAAGTAAGATTTCTCCACTGTGTGCTGCACAGAAACAGCTTTTTGCCACAATAATATAATAACTATTAATAATAACCATATTAATAATAACCATATTAATGATATTAATATTAATAATAACTGTATTAGACATTTATGGCTGCAGGAGCAAAAAGAAAAGAAACCAAACACAGTTTTCAACATTATAGTTTAATTACATCAAATATGAAAAACACATTTATGGTTTCTGATCTGAAAAGAAAAAACACTAACTGTTTGCAGTTACACCTCATTCATGGTTGTCCTTGGCAACGCAGCGGCGGATTAATTAAGGCATGTTCTGCTGACGTTGTAGTTTGTGTACTCGTCAATAGTTTACTAAATAAATCATTAATTTACTAATTATTATTATTGTTGTTGTTAAGTGAGGACCAGGAAGTCATTTTTTGCTCTGATCTGTCTCACTCTCTGAGCAGGTGAGACAGTTTTGCACCAAACAGCTGACATACAACTGTCTCCTGCTCAAAATAAAGCTGGTTTTTTTTTTTTTAAATTAGCGGTTTGGGCTGAAATAAAAAGGTGTCGATGTCGGGATCATCCGGGGTTGTTCTCCGCTGGTGGAGGTGGAATGTTTCAGGAGCAGAGCATCATGGGATGGGATCGGGCGGGGGGGGGTTCGGGGTGAGTACTAAGTTATATTTGGACCAATGTTTATGTACATGTGGAAGCAAGAGACGGTGGAGTGCTGTCGTGTTTGTATCTGCGGAGATTCTCCGGCAGGTTTGTTTCACTTCTGATAAAATTTGGGAAAAACAGGAATCGAACAGCTGAACTCAAACTGCTGCTATCGAACAGAAAGGTGACACGAGCTCAATCTGTCTGCACGATGTTCTGTTTGCTCGAATGTCCGTCGTGTTAATTAACGCTGAATTCATCTTTGAAGATCGGGGGTCGCCGTTATCTCTCTCTCTCTCTGTGTGTGTGCGTCACTGCTCGCTCTGCTGTGTGTCTGTGATGGTGGAGACGGCTCCCTGACCCTTGCTGACGTCGCTGATACACGCCCACTGACCGTCCATCGACTCCTTCCACAGCGTCACCTTCAGACACACACACACACACACACACACACACACACACACACACACACACACACACACACACACACACACACACACACGTCAATAAAAACGACTTTAACTGGCAGACAAGTTCATAATAAGACAGTAGTAAAACAACTGGAGACACAAACAAAAAAAAGGATGAAAGACACTAAAATTAACAGATAATTGGATTAACTTGAGATTAAAGGCTGCAAGAAATAAATGTACTATGGGTCCCTGTAATTATTGGTAATAAATATAGCAAAATACTGTCAGCTAGCTTCGTCCAGACTCTTATCTGGCTGTCTCTCCGTTCACCGGTTATTTTGTTGTTTTTATTTTGGTCAACAGGACGCTGGTATTAAAAGTTACATATAGAACATATAATGTGTTTTTATTGTCTGCTCTGATGCAGCAGTGACTCAATCTAAGACAATCTACATTAAGTAGAAAAACAAGGCACTGTGCCAGTATTACTGTATGTATTTTACCTTGTTGTCTCCTCCAGAAACAGCCAGTATATTTCCAGTTATAGACCAGCTCACGTGCCAAACGACATCATTGAACTTATGGAGCAGTTTGGCCGTCCAGGTGTTTCCTGCGGGATCGTCACACGTCCAGATAAACACGCGTCCGTCCTACGAGAAAGTGCAAAAGGAAACGTTGACCAAAACCTCCCAATTAACTCTCGTGGTACAAAACCCAGCAGACTGTCTGTACATTGTTTGACTTTCACCTCTAACCAGGTAACTTGAACTAGAAGTTATCTCTGTCTCCACCTGGTGGTACAAATTGATAAATTCCCACTTTAACACGTCTCAGAGTAATAAAAGCTTAATTCAGTGTTCTCTAAATAAAGAGATTCCCAGATTCTGGCTGCTGCTGAGGAGAAGAAACTGTTGAACATGTGAAGTGTCTAAATAAAAATATATGATCCCTTTAATTCCAATAAATCTCACCTGGGAGCAGCTGGCGATGGTGCTGGTGGGAAGACCAATAGAAGGAGCCCAGCCGACGTCTCTCACCCAATCACTGTGAGCCTCCAGCTTCTGGTCCTCCTTCCACTGACCGTCTTCCTCTCTGAAGACGGGAAGTGACAACCAGAGACAACCAGAGACAATCAGAGACAACCAGAGACAATCAATGACAACCAGAGACAACCAGAGACAACCAGAGACAATCAGAGACAACCAGAGACAATCAGAGACAACCAGAGACAACCAGAGACAATCAGAGACAACCAGAGACAACCAGAGACAACCAGAGACAACCAGACAGTTCAGACTCACAATAAACTGAACGCTTTGCTCTGTCGAGACTGAGGACTTTGCTTTTGTTGATAAAACTGTGTGAAAACAATCCACAGTCTTCAGGAGGGTGACATTCTCAAGGTTTTAAAAAGCTCTCTCTGTGTTACAAAGTGAATTACTATAACTATACTATAAGAAGACACTGGGGGAGAGGGGCATTTGTGTCTTAGCTGCTGCTTTCTCCGCCGTTATCACAACTACTTTGGATTCAGAAATCCCTAGACGATTGGTCACTACACTCACAGAGAGTCCATCAAACAACAACTTACTTCCAGAGTTTGACCAGGTTGTCGCAGCCGCCGGAGACGAAGCGTTTGACGTAGTTCGGTTTCTGTCCCGACGGCTGATCGATCAGACTGCCTGGAACTACGGCAGGAGCCCAACTCACTGCGTTACAGCCGATCTGCAGGAAAAATACAACCGATTCCATCAACAGAGACACGTCTGAAAGGAGCAGCTCTCAAAGCAAATACAATAACAGAGTGTAGACACTCAGCTCAATGGAGTAAAATAGAGATATAAACTCAGAACTGTGTCTCAGACTCACAGTGTGTGCGTTGCTGATCTTCTTGACGTCCCACTGTTGATCCCCAGTAAACGTGAGAAGGGAAATGGCTCCATCAGAGCTTCCACAGGCCAGGATCAGACCAAAGTCGTAGGGACCCCAGCAGACAGAGTTCACTGTAGACACATGAACCAGACCAAAGTCTCAAGAAGCTGAAACCAAACCGGCTCCGACCAGCACGACTGGAAAATGTGAACGTATCACCCAGAGATCTACCGACCTGACGACTCGTGTCCGGTGTATTCGTACATCTTGTCCCAGGATCCGTTCTCCTCCTTCCAGACGATGACTTTCCGGTCGTAGGAGCAGGAAGCCAGAATGTTTCCGAACATCGGGTGAGCCCACGCCACCTGCCACACGGGACCCTCGTGGCTTCACAAACACAGAGACACAAAGTTAGTTCATAAAACTCAGAGTGAAAGAAAGGATGTAAACCAACAGCGAGCTGTTACAGGACACAAACTTACTGAATGTAATAAATTACCACTACTTATGGAGCGGACGCAGTTAACTTATACTCTGTGTATAATGTTATTTAACAGAATTTACCCTCTGAGGTCTGCTACCAGTATCTGCCCTCCGTTCCTGACATCAAAGATCTTCACGGTGCGGTCGGAGGAACAGGTGGCGAGTCGAGTACCGTAGTAATCCATCTGGGCATCGTGCTGAAACAGAGATTGCATAAAAAGTTACTAAAAGTATTAATATTCACAGGACATCTAAAATATATTCTTCCAACTCTTCCTGCAGTTATTGTGTTCACTGTGTTGAATATAATAATAAAATAATATAAAATGTCACTGAGTAAGATGGAAGAAGGTTGGGAAACAAACCAGGGAAGTACAATCTTTACAACAATCCTTTTGTTTGACATTTCTACATCAGGAAGTCTTCTGTGATGAAATGTAGGTTTGTAAGATTGTTTCCTAAAATGTCGCCTCATACTGCAAATATGGCACAATTAATAATTACACAGGGTCTGTAATTCACAATGTATGATGTAGGTATCAGTATCTTTAATTCACAGAATATAAACCCTAACATCACTGTGCATGTTCCACATTGAATCTGGTAAACCAGTTTAAAGTGTCCCAGTTTATCCTATTAACTATTAAACTGGGACCCAACACACACACACAGGTAGACTGCAGCTCTCCAGTGTTTCATTATAATGCTGTTCGTCACATATTTAAGCTTTATTAAAACAAACCGCAGCTTCTGTGACATCTGGACGATTTCCACAATATTCTGATTAACTGAGCAACCCTCAAAATATAATAACAATTACTGCAGCACAATTAAACTACAATAACAATTAAACTATAATAATAATTAAACTATAATAATAATTAAACTATAATAATAATTAAAACTATAATAACAAATAAACTATAATAACAAATAAACTATAATAATAATTAAAACTATAATAATAATTAAACTATAATAACAATTAAACTATAATAATAATTAAAACTATAATAATAATTAAACTATAATAATAATTAAACTATAATAATAATTAAACTATAATAATAATTAAACTATAATAATAATTAAACTATAACTGCAGCTGATTATTATCTGCTGTGACTGTCTCTGGGTGAAACTCACCAATCAGCCTGATCGATCAGTTAACTGGATATTTGATCATTTTAATACATTTCCAGGTGTTTCAATGTGTAAACGTCCAGGTTTTCCAGGTTTTCCAGGTTTTCCAGGACACGTGGACACAGAGTCAGCTGTGACAGTTTAAATATATAGTTATAGTTTCCTCTGAATTTACCTGAAGCTGCTTTTAAATCCCAGCAGCAGTTCCAGAGTAAACCCAGAGAGACAGACCCTCCAGATTAACGCTCATATAACTTTATATATTATATATTATAAGTTATATATATTATATATTATGAGTTATATATATAATATAAAACCTTATATAATATGAGTTATATATATTATATATTATACATTAGTTATATAAGTTATACATTATGAGTGAACCTCTCTGAGCAGCATGCTAACGTTATGAAGAGAGAAACTTACGATCATGTCCTCGTGGGAAGTGTCCACCGTGTTAATAACGGAAACCTGAGAACAAACACAACGAACCGCTTTAACCAGATAAACAGATAAACAGATAAACAGATAAACAGATAAACAATAATATATTTATATATTTATATGTTAGCTGCACTGTTAGCCTCCCTGCTAACGAGCTAGCTACCCGGGGCACGTCAGCAGCTAACGGTGACCGGTAACGACCGTTAACGACCGTTGACGACCGTTGACGACCGTTGACGACCGTTAATAATCAGACTAACGGTCGTCAACGGACCGTTGTTAAACTCACCATGACTGCGGTTGAAACACCTCCGGATAATATTGATCCTGTTTTCTTCTCAATGAATCAATAAACCGGGGATCGATCAACTCTTCCGACGTGGCAACAAGTACAGGAGCAGCAGTTCCTACCGGCGGAAACAAAGACCCGGCGAACAAAGGTTCCACATGGAGAAAGTTCCTGCTGCTTCTTCGAGTTATTATATTATAATTATTATTATTATTATTATAGTTATAATATTATTATTATTATTATATAGTATTACAGTTATATTATTATTATATAGTATTATAGTTATATTATTATTATAGTTATATTATTATTATTATTATTATAGTTTTATTATTATTATTATTATTATTATTATAGTTATATTATTATTATTATTATTATTATTATTATAGTTATATTATTATTATTATTATTATTATTATAGTTATATTATTATAATTATTATATAGTATTATAGTTATAATATCCTACAAGTGCTGTTTACAAGAAGTTTTCAGAAGTAGTTATTTTACATTAAAAAATAAAAAAGGAAAAAAGGAAATACATAAAACACAAGAGATGAAACTAAGTGGTTAAAAATATTAAAGATAATTTTCGGTTATTTTTTGTTAAAGGGTTTTTTAAATGTGAAGCAATATGAGATGGTATCTTCTTTATTTAGTCTTTATTTAGTATTTATGTATTTTTAAAAACATTTTTATTAATGTAAAATCTATCTAAAATATAGGAGCAAATTAATACTACGTTTTTAATTACTGGATAATTTAGATTAAAAAGTACTAATAACAAATCATGTTCTTTAAATAAAAATCTTTTTTATCTTATTTTAAGTATATTTTTTGATCCAATTGGAAATCAGCCCAGAGTACTGCCACACTGTACACAGTAATTTACACTCAGTAAACTAATGTTCTAATGTTTCAATGTATTTGTCATCAATATTTACAAATCACAGAGTTTATGGGATAAATTCTATGTGTGATTTTAATTAATAGAGACAAGAATGAAATATTTCTCTATAAAACCTTCATACGTACACAGACGTCCTTCACAGTTAAATAAATAATAATAATAAAATATTGTCGGACTCATTCAGCTGAGGAAGTCATTCCTGTCTGTGATCATCAGACTCTAATATAACTCTGTAACTCCTCCTTCAGAGGGTCAAAACTCTGAGTCATTAAACTGTTAATGTCTCTGGTTATAAAGTGGATAAAGGTGCAATACACTGGATTATTCCCTCATTCTTTATTATTATGGTATTATTCTTGTAATAATTTATAACTTACTCTTTAAAAACATATACTATATTATGTCATTCATATATTACTTTATATATATATTATATTATTACTATAAGGTTCATAGGCTCTTCTATTTTTCTTACTTATATGTACATCCCTTTATATACATTTATATTTTATATATTGTGTTAGATATTGTAATATAAGTATTATTTATATTCTTTAATATTGAACAAACAGATTTCCCTCCAGAGATCAATAAAGTATTTCTGATTCTGATTATAAATACAGATCAATAACTCCCCCTCAGTGTTTATACCTCATGTGTCCACACGGTGGCGCCACAGCCCCCTGAACCCCCCCCTCTCCTCAGGTCTATTTATATCTGGACCGACAGTGTCAGGTTCCCCGCCGGTCAGTTACTCCTCTCCGGGCCTGTCTGTCTCTCGCCATGTTGTCCGGTTCAGTCTGTCGCTCCGGTGTTTGAGATCCAGTCGCAGAATAAAGTTTCAGCTGTTAAAGAAACAAAGATGTCGAATGTTTCTTATCACATCTCCAACCTGTTGGAGAAAATGACCTCGACCGACAAAGACTTCAGGTAGAGTGAACAACAGAGAGAGAGAGAGAGACCCTTTATGGACTCACTGTCATTATGTGTGAGTCATCTTACTACACAGAGGACATTTATTATTATTATTATTATTATTATTATTATTATTATTCTATAAGAGAAACACACTGGAGGTTAACCAGTTACATAAAGTGTGTCACTGTGTCTGTAAGTCAAGAACAACATGATAATACAGATTTTAATAACTTTATTCAGTTATTATTGATTCTTTACCACGTGTCTTATAATGTTATATCTTATATTTAATATATATATAATAACTAAATACCTTTTTTTCTCTGTGTGCTTTCATTTAACACCTCAGGGGAAAGAAAGAATTATCTCCAAATAAACAAATCTAACAACTCACTATTGTTAACACAACAAAAACAAACAGCAGGTCTTCATTATAATGCTGTTTTTGAATAAAAGAAAAACTACTATAGGTACTTTAGCTTTTATAGAACATAAAGCCTTCAAATAAATTATTATTATGGACGATAATAATCAGAATATTACACAATAATAGAAATGTCCCTTAATTATAATTATCTTATGATGGATATTAACTTTATTTATTAGCAGTTATTTGTCTGTTTTTGTCTCTTTTTATTTACTCTCAACTTCTTTTTCTGTGTGTGTTACTGTGTTTACTGTGTGTGTGTGTGTGTGTGTGTGTGTGTGTGTGTGTGTGTGTGTGTGTGCGACCAGGTTCATGGCCACCAACGACCTGATGCTGGAGCTCCAGAAGGACAGCATTAAACTGGACGAGGACAGCGAGAGGAAGGTGGTCACCATGCTGCTCAAACTGCTGGAGGACAAGAACGGGGAGGTTCAGAACCTCGCTGTGAAATGGTAACACACACACACACACACACACACACACACACACACACACACACACACACACACACACACAGGTAAGCGCTGTGATGAATAAAGTGTGTGTGTGTGTGTTTGATTTCCAGCCTGGCGCCTCTGGTGAGCAAGGTGAAGGAGCCTCAGGTGGAGACGATGGTGGACACACTCTGTTCCAACATGATGTCCGACAAAGAGCAGCTGAGAGACATTTCCAGTATGGGACTGAAGACTGTGATCGCTGAGCTGCCGCTGTCTTCATCAGGTGAGGAAGAGTCTTTTGTGTTGAGGCATTGAGAATATAGAAATATCTTCTCTCTGATGGTCGTGGTTGTTTGTGTCGGTCATATAGAGACAACAGTGTTAAACTGAGACTGTTTAATGGAACTGAAACTATATTTATTAATGTTACATTAATTGTTTCTTCTTTAATTTCCTCTCTGGGGTCTTTATTTATGTTGTTCAGCCTCCTCGATCCACATCCTTCACTTATATTGTATAATGTTGTGATATTGTGATTTTATGATTTTGATTTGACTCTCCAGGTTTGACTCTGACAGCCAGTGTGTGTAAGAAGATTACCTCTCAGCTGATTGGTGCAATGGGGAAACAGGAGGACGTGTCAGTTCAGTTAGAGGCTCTGGACATCCTGTCGGACATGTTGGGAAGGTAATCACGAATCATTACGAAACCTTTTAATACACAACATCCAGCAGGGCGTCAGTCGGTCGCTCCACCATTTTCATCCAGACTGAAATATCTAAATCTATAAATATCTAAATCTATCAATAAATATCTAAATATATCAATAAATATCTAAATCTATCAATAAATAACTTGTTAGTGAACTTGTTTTTTGTCTAGTTTAGCACGTAGCATATGTAAGTACAGGTGAGGAGGAAGTTGATCGAGGCTTGTTCAACTGTGATTGGAGGACAGAGCAAAAAGGGGCGGGGCTTAGGGAGGCTCTCCCTCAGGTTGAACTTTTCATCATAGCGCCACCATCAGGTCAAACTTGTAATTTGTCCCATAATTAAATACCTGTGAAACTACTCAGATTCCCATCAGCGCTAATAAACAAATGCTGGAATGCAAACATACTAAAATAATATAATTAACACGGTAAATATTATACCTGTTAATCATCAGCATGTTAACATTCTGACGTTAGCATTAAGCTCAAAGCGCCCTGAGTAAAGCCTCAGAGCTGCGACCACTGCTGGCACAAACTCTGACTGTTAGATATTAAATCACAGAGTTTAATTAATAAGTAAATTAAATATTATTTATTCTTCCTCCAGGCTGAGCGGCGCTCTGGTGAGTTTTCACAGCTCTCTGCTCTCCAGTCTGCTCCCTCAGGTAAGAAACTCAGAGAATTATATATATATATATATTACTTAATTTCACATTTCATGGTGAATGTTTTAATGTATATTAGATAAGTGATTCATTACAGTGACATTATTAACCTCTTATGTGTGTTTAGGTTGATTATTGTTTATATTCAGAGCTGAGAAGTAAAAAAAAAAAGCATTTTTACACTAATATCTGCATATTCAACTCCTTACAGGCTTGTTACTTTAGTTTATGTATCTGAAGGGGAATTATTGATTTATATTATTATGATTTCTGCATACCACAATATACAGTGGGTACAGAAAGTATTCAGACCCCTTTAAATTTTTCACTCTTTGTTTCATTGCAGCCATTTGCTAAAATCAAAAAAGTTCATTTAATTTCTCATTAATGTACACTCAGCACCCCATCTTGACAGAAAAAAACAGAAATGTAGAAATTTTTGCAAATTTATTAAAAAAGAAAAACTGAAACATCACATGGTCATAAGTATTCAGACCCTTTGCTCAGTATTGAGTAGAAGCACCCTTTTGAGCTACTACAGCCATGAGTCTTCTTGGGAATGATGCAACAAGTTTTTCACACCTGGATTTGGGGATCCTCTGCCAGTCTTCCTTGCAGATCCTCTCCAGTTCTGTCAGGTTGGATGGTGAACGTTGGTGGACAGCCATTTTCAGATCTCTCCAGAGATGCTCAATTGGGTTTAGGTCAGGGCTCTGGCTGGGCCAGTCAAGAATGGTCACAGAGTTGTTCCGAAGCCACTCCTTTGTTATTTTAGCTGTGTGCTTAGGGTTATTGTCTTGTTGGAAGGTGAACCTTCGGCCCAGTCTGAGGTCCTGAGCACTCTGGAAGAGGTTTTCTTCCAGGATATCTCTGTACTTGGCCGCATTCATCTTTCCTTCAATTGCAACCAGTCGTCCTGTCCCTGCAGCTGAAAAACATCCCCATAGCCTGATGCTGCCACCACCATGTTTCACTGTTGGGATTGTATTGGGCAGGTGATGAGCAGTGCCTGGTTTTCTCCACACATACCGCTTAGAATTAACGCCAAAAGTTCAATCTTGGTCT